CGACACGATCGCTGAAGACAAATGTGTGCATAAGCAAATGTGGTGAAGAAAGCTGATGGTGCCTGGCTATCAAAAGATATAGGGTCTGGGGTCTTAAAGGCTTGCAGGTAAACAAGCAGCCATCTAGCTCAGAAGCAACAAAGCCCACACAGAAGAAGCACATCAGCCTGTGTGACCACGAGGTGTCGAAGAGACCACATATCAGGCATCAAAGAATAAAAAATCATACCATTGTAAATGAGTCACAGTGATTTACCCCTCTGAGTTTAAAAGGAGAAGTCTGGTGAGGAACGATGACATGAAGTTAACTGGTAGGGGAGGGAAGAGATTGAATGGACTCCCCAAGCGTGTGCAGGCAAGTTTTGCAGAATATGCAGAGATGGAAATGTGTGATAAACATAGTCTGACATGATGTTTCCTGTGAAGTTTCCTTAAAGTTTTAAAAGGAAATGGCCTATAATGTCATTTGAGCTTTTTTTCTAGACTTTCTTTATTGTTTAGCCAAGCTAGTGTGTCCTTACAGAGGAGAGACGTTAAATGCCAGAGGAGGTGGGGTCACGAGTTATATAGTTAATACAACTGGCTGAAGAATGGACCAGGAACTGGAGTTCTCATCATAAGTCCTCTCCTATCAAACCTCTTCTCTCTGCTAGCTAGAGTCCAGAAATGTCCTGGTAGGTCCTAGAACTTACCGTACAAACATAGGCTTTCAGGAAGACATCATCTCTGGAGTCAGCTTGCAATGCCATTTCCTCCGAGAAGAATAATGGCTGAGTGCAAGGTAGAATCATAACAATGCCTCTTCATTCTGGTTTTTGTGACTCAAGCACAGGCAAGTTTTAAATGCTCTTGAACATTGTGTTACAAAAATGCCTGATTAAAGCCTCAGTTGTCAAACCATATGAAGGCTGAACATGATAGTGGGACAGGAGGAAAGTAAAAGGAAATAGAGGAAAGAACTAGAAGGTAAAGGGCATATATAGAGGTCTAAATACAGGCATGTACATATGTAAATATATTTATATATGATGATGGGGAAATAGATCTATGAGCATATATTTATAGGTTTACTATTAAGGAAGCAGATGGACATTGGGCCTTTACTCAAGTACTCCCTCAACACAAGAAAACTTTGTTCTAATAATCCGGCACTCTGAGATGCTCACCTTCCAACACGATCGCTGAAGACAAAGCTGGTGCATAAGCAAATGTGGTGAAGTAAGCTGATGGTGTC